CTACGGGTGTGCACCACCACATCCAGCTAATTTTTTATTTTTTGTAGAGATGGAGTTGTGTTGCCCAGGCTGGTCTTGAACCCCTGGCTTCAAGTGATCCTCCCACCTCAGCCTCTCAAAGTGCTGCATTAGGGGCATAAGCCACTAGGCTATGCCTGGCCCATCTTTATCATTTCAATGAGGCATGAGCCACTATGCCATGCCTGGTCCATGTTTATCATTTGAATGCAGCTCAACAATAAGCAGTCAACTTCCTCATTTTTTAGCTAATGCACCTGACAGGAAACGCGACTCAGGGAAAATACAGGGCCTGCAAGGTGCAGTCCGGAGCGGAACCAGCCAGCCTCAGGTTCTTCCCATTAGCCCACAGCTAAGCCTCTGGCTAAACAATGCCAATGCAGATACATTGTAAATACTTTGCCTGGCTCACTTTAGTTTCTTGTATCCAAACCTTGCTGCAGCTCTGCTTCCCAGAGAGGCATGAGTGTTGGTAGCCCTGCTCGGAGTAATGCTCATCTCAGTCATTCAGCTGAAGACCCAGAGTGGGTGGGAGCCATAAATAGGATAGAACCTCTCCCTATTAAAATCGAATGAAGCTAGAGCATTGTACCACTTCTCCTAAGACATGTCTTCACAGTGTGAACTCATCATTTTGTTGAAAATGGATTCTCAGGACATTCCACCCACTGATATTTCAAGAAGCTAAATAACATATTCCAACATCAAATGGCTGACCTTTTGGATTACGTATTGCTTCTTGTTAGCTCTCCCTGGTTTCTTCTTTCAGTGTGGATAATCCAAACTGGACAGTGAGGACAGGCACAGTGGCTCACACCTGTCATCCCAGCATTTGGGGAGGCTAAGGTGGGAGGACTGCTTGAGTCCAGAAGTTGCAGACCAGCCTGGGCAAGATAACGAGATCCTGCCTCTACTCAATTAGAAAACAAAACTAAACATTCCCCCTCCAAAAAAAAAAAAAAAAAAGCTAGATAATGCAGCCAAATACAGAATCATTTGATTTGCTATGACATACAGTAAAAATCCTGCCATGATGTGATAAGTGTGATGATGTGGGTGGGAGGGCACGGGGCTAAGTCACATCGTTCCCAATGCATGACTGACCTTGGGGACCTGAGCCTCCAATGTGACTCCTACACTCCCCAGGCCAACTGCAATTGGACGCCACCTGGTGGCTGCTGTCAGCTCATCTTCGCTATCTATCGGGATAACTCTGGATACCTTGTTCAACAGAGGCATTGGCAGAGCTCCAGTAATGCTTGAAATCTACTATGGTTAGATTGGACAGGGAGAATACTGGAGACATGACTTCTCCAACACGGTGGTCTTGCCCCCGACACCCAAAGGAGATAAGATTTTGAGATCCCCCTCACTTCGAATAAGGGAGCTGCATGGAGGACAGGAACCATCTCCCATGCTGTTATACAGAGGGACGTTACTCGTTATTATGAAGCTTTAGGATAGGAACCATCTTCCATGCTGTTATGAGGAGGGGCGTTACTCATTATTATGAGGCTTCACTGCGGTAAGCAACACTGTCCAATCATGGACTAGGAAGGTGAAAGGAATTCAGATCTTCATGATTGCTGTTTTTTCCCAACTACAGACAGGGTCTCATTGTGCTGTGTTTTGTGTTCATTGCAAATCAAATGATTTTCTTCCTCATCTGGCTGAAAGGACTCCATCTGGCTGAAAGGCCTTGAACTCCCCGGTTTAAGAGATCTTCCCCCTTCAGCCTCCTGAATAGGTGGGACAACGGGCGCATGCCACCATGCTCGGCTTAAGATTGCTGTTTGAAGGAGAGGAAAGGAGATTCAAATCACAACTCACACTTCTCCATCGTCCCCTTCTTCATTTTCCAATTCTTCTGCACTCCAAAGCTCATACAACAAAATCCTTCCATTTTCCTCAACATCACCCTTTCCTAGATTTGCTATCTAAGCCCTAAACCCTCGCTTCTCTCCTAAGGGTGTTTTGTTTGTTTCAGTTCTACTCTCAGGATTCAGTGCCAGGAAAGATTTAGAACCCACTGAGAAGGTCTGAGCACCAGCGGGTGTGTGATAGATAAAGAGTGAGGCTTAAGGAGGGTGAAACACCACCCAGTATGTTTGTCTTGTCCGGTCAAAACAGAAAGAGAAAATGAGAAAGAGAAAAAGAGAAAACGAGCAGCTTCTATACAGTGAGTGAAACATCTGATTTGTTTAAAAGTGACGTTCTCTCTCTTTTTTTTTTCTGAGACGGAGTTTCGCTCTTGTTACTCAGGTGCAATGGTGCGATCTCAGCTCAGGGCAACCTCCGCATCCTGGGTTCAAGCAATTCTCTTGCCTCAGCGTCCTGAGTAGGTGGGATTACAGGCATGCGCCACCATGCCTGGCTAATTTTTGTGGGTTTAGTAGAGACAGGGTTTCACCATGTTCGCCTGGCTAGTCTCAAACTCCTGACCTCAGGTGATTCACCTGCCTCAGCCTCCCAAAGTGCTGGGATTAGAGGCGTGAGCCACCATTCCCAGCAAGAACGGAGAGGTGAAGCCAGCTGACTTCCTAGGTCCAGTGGGGACTTGGAGAACTTTTCTGTCTAGCTAAAGAATTGTAAATGCACCAATCAGCACTCTGTAAAAACGCACCAATCAACGCTCAGTGTCTAGTTAAAGGATTGTAAATGTACCAATCAGCACTCTGAAATAATACACCAATCAGCACTCTGTAATAACGCACCAATCAGCACTCTGTGTCTAGCTAACGGATTGTAAATGCACCAATCAGCAATCTGTAAAAACGCACCAATCAGCACTCTGTAAAATGAACCAATCAGCAGGACGTGGGTGGGGACAAATAAGGAAATAAAAGCTGACCACTCCAACCAGCAGTGGCAATCCAGCTGCAATCCGCTGGGGTTGTCTGGCATACCGTGGAAGGTTTGTTCTTTCGCTGTTCACAATAAATCTTGCTGCTGCCTACTCCTTGGGTCCACACTACCTTTATGAACTTATATAGGAATTTTATAGAGTGTTTTACCTGTTGAATCTAAAACAAAAAACAAAAAACTATGGGTTTGTTTTTTGTATGTCTTAAAAAAAAAGTCCTCTTTCTAGTAATTCTTTTTTGTTGCATTTTACCAAAGCACTGATCAGCAACAAATTGAGGGCAAACAAACAAACTGGTCCCTCACCAGAGATAGTCTGAGAAGCACTGAAAAGAACATTTGCAAATCCAGAGAACAGGGCAGAGGTAGTACAAGTGAGATTAAGAATATATTCAAGAGGTAACTTGAAGCCACGGGCTGTTTTGGAAAACAAAATGATGTAAAGAGGCCAAAAGAAAAAAAAGAAACATGGAAGGACCTAAACTAGGGACATAAACATATTTCTATTGTAGAAATACAGAATGGGGACGATTGGACTTATGGTTGTAATGTCAGGTAAGGTGTCTCTTTCAGGAAAGGCATGTAGGATTAGAAGTACGGACCTAGGCCTGTTGCGGTGGCTCATTTCTGTAATCCCAGCACTGAGAGGTCCAGGCGGGAGGATCTCTTTGAGTTGAGGAGTTTGAGACCAGCTAGAGCAACAGGGTGAAATGCATCTCCACACAATTATCCAGGAGTGGTAGCATCCTGCCCCAGCCTTCCAAGTAAGTGGCACCTGTAGTCCCAGCTACTTGGAAGGCTGGGGCCGGAGGACTGCTTGAGCCCGAAAGATCGAGGTTGCAGTGAGCCAAGATCGCGCCACTCCAGCCTGGCGACAGAGCAAGACTACGTCAAAAAAATAAAAAATAAAAATAAAAAGACGGGGTGTTTCATTTGGAAGCGAAGAAAGGGGGGTTTTCAATTATTTGGAGGGCTCTTGCTTAGAGGATGGCATGGACCTGCTTTGTACAAGTCCCCAAAGGAACAACAAAGGCAAGAGCTCAGAAAGGCATAAAGAATAATTCTCCAGGCATTGATTGTCCGTCCACAGAAGGAATACGAGGACCTCACAGCAGAGGGAGTTCTCAGCCCCTGTTCAAGCACAGACCAGCACATGTTTTGGCTGGGAAGTTACAGCAATTGTACCAACATCTGATAGGTGGCTCAACTAGATGACAAGATTTCTTTCAAATTGGATGGTTACGATAATGACTGAAATCTAGACAAGAATTTGCAAACTAGGGAGGGTCCCACAGACAATGATGCTAAAGAACTGAAGAAAGAAGCCAAAAAAGGAGGCCAGAAAAAGAGCTCCAATGATGCTGTCTGGTAGCAATGATGAATGTGCTGGCATCTTGGGAAAGCATCTGGCACCGATGAGGACAAAATTACTAATAGACAAGTTTGCTGCTCCTGCTTCCAGCCAAGCAGACCCCAAAGTTGTGCACTTAATAGCGCATCATAGGGCTCCTGCTCCTCGCGGTGATGTGTTCCGCAGGCCGCACTTTCCAACAAATGCCAGACAAATCAACGGTCTGGCTGCAGTCCTCCACCGGGAAAAATGCACAAACCCTGGCAACCACAAAGATGATGAGATGAGATTTAGTCCAGATCCGTGACATGCCACTAGATCTTCCTAATCACCAGAGAGCAGATCCTTACTCTGTGTACTGGACACTGTACTAGGAACTTAATAGACATGGGGGCTGGGTGTGGTGGCTCACACCTGTAATCCCAGCACTTTGGGAGGCTGAGGCATAAGGATCGCTTTCGCCCAGGAGTACAAGACCAGCCTGGGCAACAGAGTGAGACCTTATCTTGAAAAAAACCCAAAACAACAACTAGCTGGTCATGAGGGTGTACACCTGCAGTCCCAGCTACTCGGTAGGCTGAGGTGGGAGGATCACTTGAGCTTGGGAGGTGGAGGCTGCAATGAGCCATGACTGTGCCACTGCACTCCAGCCTAGGTGACACAGCAAGACTCTGCCTCAAAAAAAAAAAAAAAAAAGAAAAGAAAAAGAAAAAAAATAGACATGCTCTCACATATGTGAAAGATCCCACTATCCCCATTTGACTGATGAACATACTAAGGCTCAGAGCAGGCAACGGACATCTTTAACTCATCTACAGATTCAGTGACAGAGTTAAGAGTACTCAGGGCTCCAAATCCTATCTGACCATTAACTCAAACCACCTCTGTTTATCCCGGCACCCCCCTTCTCGCCCCCCCTCCAGTAAACACTCTCTATTAAACACCTTGTCCACTAAAGCACCATGCCTTCCAGGAGAGACTCCTTTGTGCAACAGCCTTCCTCACTCTGCAGGAACTCACCAAAGTTTCAGTGAATGAATTTGGAGTGGTCAACAAGGGGTGCACAGTTGCAACTTTTAAAAGACAGCAGGAGAGAAATGCCACAAAACAAAATGCACATGGAAAAATCACTACCTTATTTCAAAATATTTACAGGTTCACATTTACAGGCCACCCAAAGTGTGGCGGTCAGTGGTGAGAAGGCAAAGATCAGAGGCTGTTGGGGTGGGGCATACACCATGATTCCCGGCCCCCCTCTGGGAGACACAAGGTATCCCACAGTCTTCTCTCCCAGTCACATCCTCCACGGAAACCACAAGATGACTTGCTCAACTTTTTTTAAAGTAGAAAAAAGTATGCTTGTGTGTGTGTAAGGGGAGGAGACGGGATGTGAATGAGATGGAGGGTAGTGTAATAATTCCTGTAGTCATAAGACACGCCAGTTGGTAGTTACTAGTATTCCAGACACTTCCTAACGCCAGACAAATGCCCCAAGCCTCGGCATGTCTGGCTTAGAGATCTATTCAACTGATAGCAGCCGCCTCTTCTGGGGAGAGCAGATCTTTCAGAAAGCACTGGCTGCGCTGCTAATCAAACGCAACATTGTTCTCAGAAAGGAGGAAGAATGGAAAGGTTTGTTTCAGAGTCACAACTTTATTTTTTTTAAAAAAGCACCCAAGTTGTTTTAACAAGTTGCTACAAAACTTGGGCTTCCTGAGTGGAGGCTGTTTTGCACAGTGCATCTACTGTACAAAAATCCAGGCAGGGAGGGATCAGAAAGTTAGAGTCATTAAAGAAAAAAAAAAAAAAAAAAAAAAAGCCCCAGGCACTTCATGCCTGGAAATGATGTCAGACGCAGCCACTCCTCTGTTAGAACTACGACCAAACAATGCGCAGGCAATCCACAGCAGCTGCCCTGCAAATGTCAGCGCCACCCCAGTCCAAAGAGCTTGAAACCTACCAAGCCGAAGGACTGTGCTGTGCCTCTCTCGCGCACATTTTCCCCAAGCACTCTCAGGAGCCTGGCAACAGGTAACGTGGCAACCTTTGACTTATAAAAGGGCAAGTGGCACAATTTCAGGGAACAAATGGACTTTTTTTAAAGCCAGCATCTCCCCCACCACTCCCACACCCTCCCTCCCAACCAAAAGTGAGTAAAAAACAAAGCATTGACGCGGGCAGTCCTACTCTCGAGTGTCCCCTTGTGGCCAAGCCTGGAACATCACATCCGTACTTTGCAATCTGTGGATCAGCTACGAGGTAAGTCGCTCTTTGGAAGGGGTGGAGGTCTTCGCTGGACTTGTCTTCCGAAAAGCATAAAGAGTGGAAGTCAAGGCTAAGAATGGCTTGCTTTTTTACCTTACCACCTTAACAAAAACTTCACCTTAGCTGCAGGGTTCAATCTCTGGGCTGGGGCTGGGGATTTTCGTTGCTGTTGTTTTAAAGCAGCAGCCAAGGCCATGTTTTTTAAGGTGGTGAGTTAAACAGAGCAAGAACTGCGATAGCCTTTTCCCACCCAATCTCTTTCTTCACATCCTAGTCACAGCCAAGCGTAGGGTGGATGGCAGTGAGGATAAACAGCCCAGAAACTGAGGGTTCCTGCAGGGTGGGACTGGCATTTTCCATTTTTATCTGAAGGTGTACTTTGAATGCAGACACTTTTCTCGCAGGCCAGAAGCACTGCTCATTTGCATTGCTGGCTTCCAGTTAGCCTATTTGCGAGGATTACTTAGGATTTCCAGACTGCAGGCCCAGCTACCCAGAGAATATGCCTCGAAGCCCCACCTCAACGCTTTCATCTCTATGTGGGGGGAAGCACCCATGAAAATGCCAACGGCAGTATTTGTAACCTGCCTTCTTCCTTTTGGGAACTGCTTTCTGCAGCTCTCTCTGTTTTAGAGGAATAACTACAGCAGGGAGCTGCTCCAGCCACGCAGGAGGAGAGGGCACCGTTGAGGAGAGGGCACCCGCAGGAGGAGAGGGCACCCGCAGGAGGAGAGGGCACCGTTGAGGAGAGGGCACCCGTTCTGTCTCCCTCTGGCTATGTTAACTGGAAACTAGGAAAGGGTTTCAGATCAAAGTAAGTGCTCTCTTCAGAAAGTTCCATTCATTAACTAAATTAGCGGAAATTAAATGGTGTTTGGAGGAAGGTCATTTCAGAAGGCCCAGGGCCAGAGGCTGAGGTCTAAAACTTCTAATCTGGACTTTGATTGAAGTTTGGCAGTTAAGTAGGAAGTTGAAGGCTACCATATGTAAATCTAGTTCTTGCCTGAAATCACTCATTTCAAAGGAATATCTTGAAAGGACACAGACTGGGAAACAGGCATGAGGGAAAAAAAAAAAAAAAAGGTAGACATTTGGCTAGTATGTGCTTAGACCACTTAACACTAAAGATGAGAAACCCAGGGCTCTGAGTAAGAATCATTTGCCCAGTAGCTAAGGTGAGTCACAGCCTGCACAGAACTAGGGCACACGTTGAAGTCAGGATGTTGAGAACGTCAGGCTTACTAATTTGCAAGGCAGGAGTGTTGCTTCCAGTAGGGAATGTGATCAGGATTTCACGGCTCATTTTCCCAGCCTTTCCAACAGGTGCAGTCAAGTCATCCGTGTAGACAAGTGACTGCCCTGGCACTTACATCTGTTAGGATTAAATTTCCATTTGTTCCATTACTTTATATGAAGTGATTTCTACTGTCGAGTCAGACAGATCACTTCCTCTTAGACCTAGGGACTTTTTCAACATTTTTAACAATGTGTGTGTTTTTCAAAATGTGTCCCAGCCAGGTCTGCAGGTCTTCCTGGGTTGAATGGCCTGTTTACAGAAGGGGAAGATTCAGGACTTAAGGTCAGGGTTACAGAATTATATAAAGTTTCCTGTTTGGGCAGCTGGTCTAGCAACACCTCAGGTTGGGGCAGACTGGGTCTTGTTGAGAGATAGCATGCCCAGGAGGCTAGGGCGGGGAGAGTGCCAGGAGCAGGGAAGGACATTTTTCGTTTCTTTTGTTTTGAGACTGAGTCTTACTCTGTCACCCAGGCTGGAGTGCAGTGGTGCGATCTCGGCTCCCTGCAACCTCCACCTCCCAGGTTCAAACGATTCTCCTGCCTCAGCCTCTCGAGTAGCTGGGATTACAGGTGCCCACCACCATACCCAGCTATTTTTTTTTTTTTTTTTTTTGAGACAGAGTTTCCCTCTTGTTGCCCAGGCTGGAGGGCAATGGCACGATCTCAGCTCACCGCAACCTCTGCCTCTCTGGTTCAAGTGATTCTCCTGCCTCAGCCTCCCAAGTAACTGGGATTGCAGGCACATGCCACCACCCCCGATTAATTTTTTGTATTTTTAGTAGAGATGAGGTTTCTCCATGTTGGTCAGGCTGGTCTTGAACTCCCAACCTCAGCTGATCTGCCTGTCTCGGCCTCCCAAAATGCTGGGACTATAGGTGCGAGTGATCGCGCCCGGCCACTCCCAGCTAATTTTTGTATTTTTAATAGAGACGGGGTTTCACCATGTGGGCCAGGCTGATCCTGAACTCCTGATCTTAGATGATCTATCCACCTCAGCCTCCCAAAGTGCTGGGATTACAGGCTTGAGCCACCAAGCCCGACCTGACATTTTTCTTTTAAATCTTTCATCAACCAGCTTTCATTTCTTGTTGGATGTCACTTTTCAGCATCCTGTTCCTATATTCTCTGTTAGGAGAACCTTTTTTTTTTTTTTTCTGGCCAGACTGAGAGAAAGGAATTAGTTAAAGGATGGAAGAATTACAAGATCAGGCACTGTTGTCTGTCTGATCCACGGATGTAACCACAGCACACGGCGCGGCTCACGGTACTAGTGTGGTAAATGCTTGTTACATGAAGGCATGAACAGGGATGAGAAGAGACTTCCTGGAGAAAAAAAAGGGACTAATAATCAGGAAAGGGAGGTGATCGGGGCAGGAGTAAAGTGGACACCTCAGCAAAGCCATTCTCTGTGATCTCTGATGGTGCAGTGTCATGTGTCACCAGAGCCCCCTCGTGTTTGATGTTGGCCAATCCTGCCAGCATGGATCCAGCAGGCCAAATCCTCATCTACCATGCTCTGACAGCAGCTGGTCCCCTGGTCCACCTAATGTCCCCCATTCTCCCCACTTGGCCTCCCCTACAGGCCCTCGGAAAAGGACCGTGGGAGGCACCTGTGACACTGCCCTTTTCCTGTGCAGCTGTTTTTCTTCTTCATTCTTCTCACTCCTCGTTATTCTCTTTTTTTTTCCTTGCTCAGCCCACACAGAACTAGGAACCTTGTTATTCTTCTACTTATTTTTCTGTGCTCTGTCTGCTTGCACACACACAGATGGATATCTGAGAGCCAGGGAACTTTCTTTACCTCCTAGTATCATTTCATGAGAATTAGTAGCACCTGCCCAATGGGGCCTTGGAGACAGGAATAAAAGGAAAGATCTGGCATGGAATCACATGACGCAACAGGCTATGAAGACTCCGTGCCCTGCTGCTGTATGTCTGGTAAACAGAATAAATCGCACTTGAGCATCCCTGACCCTGAGGCTGTGGAGTAGCTGGTTGTTTCTAGATGGGACCAGGGTATCACGCACTTACTGCCAATTCATCTTGCTTCAGTAAGTGCAGGGGGCGCTGTGCAGAGTGAGTGGCCTGTGTATGAACCAGAGTCCGTCCCATCTAAAGACAGTCCGGTCAGGCCGAGTCCTCACCGAGACTTCAGTGTGGATTAATCAGTGACCTTGGTTCACCAGCAGGCTCGCTGGACTTTGGAGAAAAGGCTGACCCTACACCAAAGCAGCCCACTGCTGCCGTCGCCCTAGGAACAGAGGGCCTGGAGTCAGGGCTTGACCTGGCACAGGAGCTTTTGCACAAGGCCGGCTCAAACCTCCAAACCTGGGAAAACAGGATGCGTGGGGAAGTGAAGAAGAAAGAAAATGCATCCACCATTCCTTCCTGTTGGTGTCAGCACGATGAGGAATCATTACCTGGATCTGGAGCGCAGGCGTGTGGGAGGCTGCAGGCCCCCCTGGTCTGTGTAGTTAGGCACTTAATTTTTCATCCTCCTCCTTTTCTCTGCCCTCCTGAAACCCCCATTTTCAAAGGAAAAACAGAAAAATGTATCTGGTTAACCTGTGTAATACTGTTTACATCAGTCCACTTGGTCCAGAAAGGATACCAGCTCCTTACTGATGCTCAGATGACAGAGTTAGTGCTTAAAAAAATTATGCCTTGGGCCGGGCGCGGTGATCACGCCTATAATCCCAGCACTTTGGGAGACCGAGGTGGGCAGATCACGAGGTCAAGAGATCAAGACCATCCTGGCCAACCAACATAGTGAAACCCCATCTCTACTAAAAATACAACAATTAGCTGGGCATGGTGGTGCACGCCTGTAGTCCCAGCTGCTCAGGAGGCTGAGGCAGGAGAGTTGGTTGGGCCTGGTAGGCGGAGGTTGCAGTGAGCTGAGATCACACCACTGCACTCCAGCCCGGTCGGTGGCGCGAGACTCCATCTCAAAAAAGAAAAAAAAAAATTATGCCTCATTCATTATCCAACTTTGTCACTGATAGAGAAGGACATGGATCCAGAGATGAACTTGTCCAGGTGACCCCAGGGCTCTTTTCCCCTCCATTACTTTTTTTTTTTTGAGATGGAGTCTGGCTGTGTCACCTGGGCTGGAGTGCAGTGTCACAATCTTGGCTCACTGCAACCTCTGCCTCCTGGGTTCAAGCTATTCTCCTAACTCAGCCTCCCTAGTGGCTGGGATTACAGGTGCGTGCCACCCCGCCCAGCTGATTTTTGTATTTTTAGTAGAGATGAGGTTTTACCTTGTTAGCCAGGCTGGTCTCGAACTCCTGACCTCAAGCGAATCTGCCTGCCTTGGCCTCCCAAAGTGCTGGGATTACAGGTGTGAGCCACCACGCCTGGTCCCCTCCATTACTCCTTAAGTGTCCCTTAAAGACTGTATTTATTTAATTATTTATTTGAAACAGTGTCTCGCTCTGTCGCCCAGGCTGCTGTGCAGTGGCGTGATCCCAGCTCACTGCAGCCTTCTGCCTCATCCTCCTGAGTACCTGAGACTACAGGCGTGTGCCACCACACCCAGCTAATGCTTGTCTTTTTGGTAGAGATGGGGTTTCACCATGTTGGCCAGGCTGGTCTTGAACTCCTGACCTCAAGTGATCTGCCCACTTCAGCCTCCCAAAGTGCTGGGATTACAGGCGTGAAGCCACTGCGCCCGGCAAGGAATGCATTTAAAATACTATTTTTCTGTTAGGTACTTGTCATTTGCCAAAATTAAATAAAAACAATCTAGGGACCTAGGAACCTGTGAAGTAAAGTACTAAAATCTATACCAATTTACTCTACCAGCCCCCATCCTCCTCCTCGTTCGCTGAGTGTTTAATAAAGCCAGGCGCTTTACCTATAGTCTCATTATATTAAAAACAACCCTGCATAGGAAGTCAGGATCTCAATTTTGCGGATGAAAAGGAGGCTCTTCTGGGCATGCCCAGCAAGGTCTGGGGAACGCCCCTTAATCGAGTACTTGAATTTGTCTGCAGGGAGAGGTGGCATCACCGCACTGTAAATAGTTCCAAGGTCAAGTTTGGCTAGTAGCTTTTAGAATTGTGGCAGAAGGATGCCATCCTACTCCCACCTCAGAGGCATCTCAGGTTCTGGAGCTCTCTGCTAACTAAGCCCACCTGTGGAGGGTGGCACTGGAGTGGTGATAGGTGTGCAAGGTTTCACATCTTCAAGGAAAAAACAGCTCCAAGGACAGAGTTGTTTTTTTGTTTTGTTTTGTTTTTTTTGAGATGGAGTCTCCCTCTGTTGTCAGGCTAGAGTGCAGTGGCGCGATCTCAGCTCACTGCAACGTCCACCTCCCGAGTTCAAGCAATTCCCCTGCCTCAGGAGGGTGCCACCACGTCCGGCTAATTTTTGTATTTTTAGCAGAGATGGGGTTTCACCATCTGGACCAGGATGGTCTCCATCTCTTGACCTTGTGATTCGCCCACCTTGGCCTCCCAAAATGTTGGGATTACAGGCGTGAGCCACCACTCCTGGCCAATTTTATTTATTTATTTTTATTTTTTTTAAGAGATGGTGTCTCGCTCTGTTGCCTGGGCTGGAGTGCAGTGGCGTGATCATGGCTCACTGCATCCTCTAACTCCCGGGCTCAAGCGATCCTCCCACCTCAGCGTCCGGAATAGCTGGAACCACAAGCACACACTACCACATCCAGCTAATTTTTAAAAAACTTTTTGTAAAGATGGGGTCTCACTGTGTTGCCCAGGGTCAAGGTCAGATTTGTTAATACTTGTGACATTGTCTCCTGTTGGAGTTCTAGGTGTTCATTAGTTCATCACCATATGTGTGATTCACACACTGTACTCAGAAACATTCTTTTTGTTTATTTTTGGGTTTTTTTTTGAGACGGCGTTTCCTTCTTGTTGCCCAGGCTGGAGTGCAATGGCACACACAATCCCTGCTCACTGCAACCTCCACCTCCCAGCTTCAAGCAATTCTCCTGTCTCAGCCTCCCAAGTAGCTAGGATTACAGGTTTGTACCACCACTCCCAGCTAATTTTTGTATTATTAGAGACGGGGTTTCACCATGTTGGCCAGGTTGGTCTCAAACCCCGGACCTCAGGTGATCTACCTGCCTCAGCCTCCCAAAGTGCTGGGATTACAGGCATGAGCTACCGTACTCAGCCAGAAGCATTCTTTTTATTCATTTTTATTATAATGATAATAAGGGCCCTAGTAGGGGATTTGAACTGTTTCTTTCCACAGTGTAGAATGATGTCTATATACATTACAGAATGGAGTAATCTTTTTTTTTTTGAGACAGAGTTTCACCCTGTGGCTCAGGCTGGAGTGCAATCATGTGATTTCAGCTCACTGCAACCTCCATCTCCCAGGCTAAAGCAATTCTCCCACCTCAGCCTCCCAAGTAGCTGGGATTACAGGCACCTGCCACCGTGCCGGCTATTTTTTGTATTTTTAGTAGAGATGGGGTTTCACCATGTTGCAGGCTGGTTTCGAACTCCTGACCTCAAGCAATGCACCCACTTCAGCCCCCCAAAGTGCTGGGTTTACAGGTGTGAGCCACTGCGCCCAGCCCAGAATGGAGTAATCTGATGCGGTCTTACAGATGAGCACTTCACATTTGCAAGGGTGTGTGTGTGTGTGTGTGTGTGTGTGTGTTTTAACTCATCTTTCTATTCTCTTCCCCACCCCTCCTTTCCCATCTGCTACCCTCAGGCTGCAGTTCGATTTCACAGATAGAAAAATAAATAAAGCCTATGGCTGGGCGTGGTGGTTCATGCCTGTAATCCCAGCACTTTGGGAGGCCAAGGTGGGCCGATCATTTGAGGTCAGGAGTTCGAGACCAGCCTGACCAACATGGTGAAACCCCGTCTCTACCAAAAATACAAATAAATTAGCCGGGCATGGTGGCCTGCCCCAGTAATCCCAGCTACTTGGGAGGCTGAGGCAGGAGAATCGCTTGAACCCAGGAAGCGGAGGTTGCAGTGAGCCCAGATCACACCACCGCACTCCAGCCATGGTGACAGAGCGAGACTCCATCTCAAAACAAAAAATAATAATAATTTAAAAATCAGCTGGGTGTGGTGGCGGGCGCCTGTAATCCCAGCTACTCAGGAGGTTGAGGCAGGCGAATCGCTTGAACCTGGGAGGCAGAGGTTGCAGTGAGTGGAGATCGTGCCAGTGCACTCCAGCCTGGGCTACAGTGCCAGATGACTCCTCGAATGAATGAATAAATAAATAAAACCTACATTCTTTACCTTGCCCCACTAAAATTTGCACTGACAAGAGGGCAGCTCCGTGCTGGGTACAAGCCAGGTGCCACTGCTTTGATGCTGCCCAGGACACTGGCCTAAACGCGTGTTTGCAAGCTCTCCATTCATTCAAGCTCTGCCTAGTACACACATTTTGGAAACCATTTCCCAAAATGTGTGCTCTTATACCACATTTCCCACCCAACAGATAACCGAGACAGTGCAAGTAACATAGTTTGAATTAAAGAATAAACTTGTGTTGGCCAGGCGCGGTGGCTCACGCCTGTAATCCCAGCACTTTGGGAGGCCGAGGCGGGCGGATCATGAGGTCAGGAGATCGAGGCCATCCTGGCTAACACAGTGAAACCCCGTCTCTACTAAAAATACAAAAAATTAGCCGGGCGTGGTGGCAGGCGCTTGTAGTCCCAGCTACTCTCTCAGCTACCAAGGGAGGCTGAGGCAGGGGAATGGTATGAACCCGGGAGGCGGAGCTTGCAGTGAGCCGAGATCACACCACTGCACTCCAGCCTGGGAGACAGGATGAGATTCCGTCCCAAAAAAAAAAAAGAAGAAACTTGTGTTGGTAGACAAGTAAGTTCATGAACTGCAGATATAAATAGATCGAGCAGTAGATATGTTTATTATCTCAAACAAGCACGGCACTGCTTCCTGGTGTGGATTATATTCCAGTTTTCAAAAGGAACCATAGAAAGTACAAGCAATAGATTTTATTTTGGAGGGATTTCTAACATCATAGGCCAAAGATGTTATTAAGTATCAACTCTGAAAAAGCAACTATAAATCCTGCAAATCGACTACGCCAGAGGAGGCGAATATATCCTGTGTGTGGTGTGCTGGACTGTGGTGGAGACTTCATGCCTGTGCTCTGGGCTCATGGGGGCAACTGACTGCTCATAATTAAGATTGCTGTTGCCACTGCCCGTGTTCCAGAGAGAACACAAGACGACAGAGCTAAGGTGCAGGAATGCGGAAAAACTTGGAGAAACTAGAGCTAGTCTTTGGATTGAAATGAATTACCAATAAAGGGTTGGGAAATGGATCAAGGGGAGGGAAGCATTTTGATGGCCCCTGCTCCGAGGTTCAGCCCATTTGCAGTTGCTGATAACCTTGTCAGGTCACCAGATAAAGGCAAGTCTTGTCACCCTCAGGCACCTGGCAGCGAGGTAATAAAACGGTTGCCTTATCATCTAAAGGTGGAGTTAGTCAAACCTCAGCCCAGGGTAATTATAGTAAACTGAAATTGCCTGTCCTTTACAAAAAAAAAAAGGGGGAGGGAGAGAGAAAGGAAAAGGGCTTAAGGCAGGAAATTGTGTTTGTCTTTCTCCTTGGATTTAAAAAAGAAACAAGCGAAACAGCAAGAAGTTTTCCAGGGAGGGAGAAAAACAGCCCGGCTAAACTCCCCTCACCCGGGTTAACAGGATTGCTGACAGATCAGGCCCACGTGATGGTCAAGAAAAGAGGCTCAAGCTGATGAAAATCCAAGAAATCTTCTTAGGAGCCTTCCTTTCTAAATGTAAATGACTGAGTCATTGCTTTGCTAAGGAGGGAAGGAAGTTACAATCACACCAAGTGACTCATTCATTGCTGTTAGCTCTGGCAGTTGGATAAAAAGTTTTAGCAAAAGCAGCGACAAATGTACTTTAAATACGAGCACAGTAAGGGAATTCCTCTCTTTCAGGATGAATGCCGTCCACACAAAAGAGCTCCTGTTGACATCTCATTTACAATCTCCCCCAGGACACAGACAAGACCCTTTCAATAAACTCGGCTCAGAAACACCTATTGTTCAAAATCTTCAACTCGCCACAGGCTACCACCACTCCCTACGGCTTTGCAAAATTAAAGATTTAGAAGAAGGATGGGGACGGTGGAAGCTATGAAAAGAGGCAGGAAAAAAGTCCCTTTGACCCGATGCTGTCAGAGAGCGTGCATGAAGAAGAAAGTTAATGGTATTTCCATTTATATAAGAAGTGCCTAAGAAATGCCTGTGACGTTCGTGAACTAGTGATTGTGAATTCCAAATTTGATGCCAACTTTATGTGTAAAGAAGCTAACTCCTGCCAACATTGTGGCTGAATGAACAGCCGGGGTTATGCTTAACCCATTCCCGGCTTACAAAAGCCCCATAGCAGCTGCAGGAAAGCATCAGGTGAGTCTGATATGGGCTGTCTGTTTCCTCTGGGATTTGAAGCTTGCCTGTCCTGTCCAAGTGGAATCTTGTGCCTAAGTGCTAGAGTCCACCCCTCTCCACTGATTCCCTTCTTTCCATTTCTGCCATTTCCCTTCTTCTTTTAATAAAACTTGGGCATTTTCTAGAGTTACATGTTTTTCTTGGGATGTACTTCACATTAAGGAGCATATTTGTGTTTACAGAAACACACACACACACACACACAAAAGAATCGGGCATTTCCCAAGTGGTGATATCTTTACCCTCCTCATCTTTCCCTTAAGGTTCCCTATCTCAGTACACGATCCCTTTGTCTGCCCCGAGTTCAAGCCAAAACTCGGCATTATCTGTAAGCACTCTTTTGAGTCCTCTCTGATCTCTTAAACCCCTCTGGAATCATTCCACGTCCTTCTGTGCATCTTTCTGCTTCCCTAGATCCTATAGTTTGAAATGTTCTCTTCTGGAGTATCACAGCAACTTCCTTAACCCAAGGTTTCTCCAACTCTGAGTTGTGACTTAATGGGTAGTGAAATCAGATGAGTCATGCAGTTTCACCATTTAGAAAATGCAGAAGGTTAGGTAGAAAATGTCAGCGTACATCCTGTGTAGAAAAATTCAGTCTTGTTGGGAAACTTCTTTCAGTTTGTGTGTGCGTGTCCCCGGATCTGTGTACGTACTGGGCAACAGGGAAAATGCATTTTGTAGGTCAAAATATTTGGAGAAATACTTTTCTACTTAGTCTCACTGGGTCTGTCTTTTCTCTGTTTCCAAACTCTTGCGGACACTTAGAGGAGGAGCGGAAACCCTCCAGCAGGTCCTGTCAGTCTGCAGTTTACAAATCTGCCCTCAGGATAAGAGTTCCTGCTCACTGTTCACGTCTCAGAATTCTACATCCTCCTGACCACTTTGCCTTTAGTTATTCAACCCATCAAGTTCCCTGGGTTTGCATGTGCAATCGATTCCTTGTTAGGGGTATTCTTTCCTCTGGTTTTTCCTTCAGATCTGAGCTTACGTTTGACCTCTTCCAAGAAGATGCCAGGAATGTCCTTCTGAACGTCTTTCCTAGTTGTCATGAGAACACTGCAGTTTTTAAGCAGGCAGAGCACTTACTACATTATAATTCTCTTCTTGGTTCCCAACTGAACTTTCAAGTTCCAAGTGGGCAGTCAGTAAATATTTCTTGGTGCATAAGATGCTCCACACTTTACACAGTTCACGTTTGCTTCCTCCAAACCAATTTGGATGGTTATAAAGTATCTTATCTCTAGTTCTCAAAGCTTTCGTTTCCTTTAACCCTTAAATATCTCTTGCACGTTTTCTTTTCAAACACTGCTTAATTTGCAAATTCATTGGACTCCTTTCCTTAAAAATCAAAATAATAAAACTTCAAGAAAGCTGTTTGGCTTCTGGCCACTTAGTCACCCTCTCTGAATGACAGATCTGTAAACAGGAAGGGCAGAACTCTGATCTCTAAAATCCTCTCCAGTCCACTACTCTGACCCTCTAACTTGAACTTCCTCCAGAGAGGTTAAGTGACTTTTCCAAGGTCACGCAGCTTTTTAGCAGCAGGAGATTTTTTTCCTTGTCTATAGATTTTTAAAAGCTAGCAGCAAACAAAAACCAAAAAGTTTACCGAGGAAACTGAGTGCCACTAACAAGTTTGTGTGAAAGAGAATACATAAAGAAACAGGAAACTTTGAACAAAACACTAAAATCAACAACAACCAAAATGGATTCCTGCCTAGGCAGGTCTGGACTTTAAAAAAAAATGGTCTCACTGTGGTTTGCTATTAGATGGAGAGACATTCAGATTTCATTTTTAAAATGAAAGTGAAAGATTAAAGAATTTTGGCATCCTGACCCTTTGTAGAGGCCATTCCTCAGAGGCACAGTGTGCAGACAAAACTATCCTAGAGGTGCCAACCAAAACAAGCTAATGTCTGTCTCATTCCTGAGCCCTGGTGCCTTGACCAGTAACCACGCTCAGGAAGAAAGCTGCAACTTGCCAGGATGAAATTTGGCCCCGGTTCTTACAACCCTTCCCCGCTTCCTTCCCTTGCCAGAAGCACACGGAAGAATTCGCTGCTCTCAAAGGCAGACTTTTCATTACTTCCTTACATTATAGAATTTGGGCTTAGATAACCAGTTGTATGAGTAGCAAGTCCAACAGAAATACAACAGCAATAATACTTATGTCTTTCCCTAATGTAATATGTTATACTTCATAAGCCACCAGATGCATTTGTCGCTTTTCCCCCTTCCACACTGACCAGCAGTTTTGCTTTGTTTGGCAGAAAAGTTTGGTAAGAAGAAATTGAATCTGAAGTGCTTTCTTACAAAGGAAAAAGAAAATCACTATTATAACTGTATACCAAACTACTACGTATGTGAGGCCCCAACTCTGACTTCACGTCGTTACAGCCAGGTGATGGGATATGGGTGATTTTTACTTTATTCTTTGGGCTTCTCTGAATTTTCCTATTTTTTGAAAAAGAATTACTTTTGTAATTATAAAGAAGTACAGATAAGAATTACACACACGGTTATTTTTTCACTGCTATGACATGACTAGATTATAACTTTTTTTTTTTTTTTTTTGAGACAGAGTTTAGGAGTTTCACTCTCGTTGCCCAGGCTGGAGTGCAGTGGCACGACCTCAGCTCACTGCAACCTCCACCTCCCGGGTTCAAGCGATTCTCCTGCCTCAGCCACCCTAGTAGCTGGGATTACAGGCACCTGCCACCACACCCGGCTAATTTTTTTTTGTAATTTTAGTAGAGAAGGGGTTTCGCCATGCTGGCAAGGCTGGTCTCGAACTCCTGACTTTAGGTGATTGAGCCACCCGCCTCAGCCTCCCGAAGTGCTGGGATTACAGGCATGAGCCACCGCGCCCAGCCTAGATTATGAAATTTTAGTGTTACTATATATGTTTCTGTGTAATTTTTGTTTTGAACCTTTTTTATTTTTCTTTTAATTCCTTTGAGACAGGATCTTGTTCTGTTACGCAGGCTCATTGCAACAAGGTGATTTTCCCGCCTCAGTCTCCAGAGTAGCTGGATTACAGGCCTGTGCCACCACACCCAGGTAATATTTTATATTTTTTGTAGAAATGGGGTTTTGCTATGTTGCCCAGGCTGGTCTTGAACTCCTGGGCTCAAGCGATCCACCCTCCTCAGCCTCCCAAAGTACTGGGATTACAGGCATAAGCTACTGCACCCGGCCTTGAGCATTTGTTTTTTGAAGGAAATTTTATATGATTATTACGTAAAAAAGGAATACTAAAAATCTCCTAACATTGATATCTCTCTGTCTTTAAATTTTAAAAGCTTAAGGAACATGGACCCATACAGTGCAGCCAAATATTAGCCGGTAACTTCTTTTTTTTTTTTTTGAGATGGAGTTTTGCTCTGTTGCCCAGGCTGGAGTGCAGTGGCGTGATCCTTGGCTCACTGCAAGCTCCACCTCCTGGGTTCAAGCGATTCTCCTGCCTCAGCCTCCCGAGTAGCTGGGACTATAGGCACCTGCCACAACACCCGGCTAATGGTTGGGTTTTTTTTGCATTTTTAGTAGAGACGGGATTTCACTGTGTTAGCCAGGATGGTGTCGATTTCCTGACCTCATGATCCTCCTGCCTCGGCCTCCCAAAGTGCTGGGATTACAGGTGTGAGCCACCGCTCCCGGCCAGCCGGTAACTTCTTTACAAATGGGCTGCAGCGTATTTTATTACCTTCTCCTGACAATTTCTTATTTGACTGTTTATCATTTCCAGAACATACTAGCCTTTTGCATGCCTTTACGCCCGTGGCAAACGTTGTTTGCCTCTTCATAACCATTCTCCCTGTCCTGCTTGCTAATGAGACCCCAGTGCTGTTGATCTGTTCCACAGCTGTGAGTTTTGGAGGTGGCAAAGCCCCTACCTAGACATGGAGGCTGAATCTTCACCAGTCTACAAGACAAAGAGATGAGAAGGGAGATCAGATGGGAATGTTCTGGGAAAGTTTACCTCACTATTTAAAGCCACCCAAGTCAGGGACATCCCTTTTCTTCCTCTGGACTTTGTCATCTGCAAGGATGCTGGAACCGTGGCTGCCACAGGGAGACCACAGAAAGTACCGGCCTAAGAAGACGAGTTCAGTCGGGCGTGGTGGCTCGCACCTGTAATCCCAGCACTTTGGGAGACCGAGGCGGGCAGATCACCTGAAGTTGGGAGTTCAAGACCAGCCTGACCAACATGGAGAAACTCCATCTCTACTAAAAATGCAACATTAGCCAGGTGTGGTGGCGCATTCCTGTAATCCCAGCTACTGGGGAGGCTGAAGCAGGAGAATTGCTTGAACCCGGGAGGGGGAGGTTACAGTGAGTGAAGATTGCGCCACTGCATTCCAGCCTGGGCAATGAGAGTGAAACTCCATCTCACCAAAAAAAAAAAAAAAAAAATAGACGAGCTCACACTGGGGATGACAGGTGGAAGAAATGCCAGCTGTCATGAACTTACTGGTTTTGGTAAATTCATTGCCTGCCCTACCTTGGCACTTGGTATTGTTTGAGAAAACAAATTATTTTGCCATCTTAGTCACTTCGATTTTATTTTTAAAATTGTGTTTGCTTTTTGATTTGATTGGCTTGGCACTTATGCAGTGACTTTGTAGATGCTGTCTATGTGTTGGGGCTCAGAACATGATGCCCTAAAATACGGTGACTTGGCAATTGAGAAAACCAAAGGAACAAGAAGGTCACTCAGTGTGAGATCTGGCCACAACGGAATGCTCTGACCTATCTTTGTCTGAAAGTAGGTCATAAGATGCTCATTCCAGAAGGGTCCCACTCTATACCCAGAGGCAAAGAAGAATCGGAACAGACAGCTCCTGCCCTAACTGGTCCCCAGTTTTGTTACCATTAGATAATAAATTTATTCTATTTCAAATCTGAAATACTCTAAAGTCTGAAACTTTTTGTTTTCTTGAGACAGAGTCTCGCTGTGTCACCCAGGCTGGAGTGTAGTGCACGATCTCAGCGCACTGCAACCTCCATCTCCTGGGTTCAATGATCCTCCTGCCTCAGCCTCTCCTGTCTCAGCCTCCCAAGTAGCTGGGAGTACAGGCGTGTGCCACCACGGCCGGCTAATTTTTGTACTTTTAGTAGAGACAGGGTTTCACCATGTTGGCCATACTGGTCTCGAACGCCTGACCTCAAGTGGTCTGCCTGCCTCAGCCTCCCAAAGTGCTGGGATTATAGGCGTGAGCCGCTGCACCCGACCTAATCTGTAATACTCTCCCCTGCAGTGTCCTCAGCCTCCCAAGTAGCTGGGACTGCAGGCGTGCACCACCACAACCAGCTAATTTTTAAACATTTTTGTGGTAGAGATTTGGTCTCACTATGTTGCCCAGGCTAGTCTCGAATTCCTGCGCTCAGGTGATTCTCCCACCTTGTTCTCCCAAAGTACTAGGATTCAAGGTGTCATCCACCTCCCTCCCTCAAAAAAATGAAAAACAATGGTATGAAAGTATTAACTGCATGGTCTTTTTTTTTTTTTTTTTTTTTTTTTGGATTTTTCATATGTATTTTTTTCCTATGGCAGAGGAGTTTTCATAATTTGTATGACACATGCACATGTGTGCACATTAGTGAAATTTGTATGCCAGCCAGGTTGGCATAAGCCTGTCGTCTCGGTTACTCAGAGGCTGAGGCGGGAGGATTGCTTGAGTCCAGGAGGTCGAAGCTGCTGTGAGCTATGATCGCACCACTGCACTCTACCCTGGGCGACAGAGCAAGACCCTGTCTTAAAAAAAAAAACAGTGTATGCTTTTTTTTTCCTGTTAATTTACTATCTGTTTGTTTTATAGACTCAAATTATCAAGGCTTCAGGGGAAAAATGTAAACTTCCCTACGGCTCCCTTGATCACCCAGCTTAGAGCAGCCTCACACCCTCCCATCCCAGGCCTCCAGCCCCCTAACTGATTTGAGATGCCTGGAGAAAATAAAATTGCTGCTCCATCTTTTGTAAACTAAAAGTGCTGGGGTAGGGGTGGTACAAAGTTGTGGCTTGCTTGTTCAACCCAGTCCTGACCAGCTCTACCACTGCACCCGCCCCAGCCCTCCACAGCCTTCCAACGGCAGCTGTCTCCAGATTCCCTACATTCTAGTTAGCAGCCTTCACTCTCCCCGTGACCAAGGCCCCACGACGTCTTTCCAAAGCCCCTGCTTGTCATTTCTGTTAACATGCCCCCGCCTCCCACCTCGAAATTACATAGCAGGACCGGCTCCAGCCTTCGCTTCCTTGCACCTCGGAAAATGGCAGAAGGTAAATTACCCCGAGTTTCTCAGGGCTTGTAGGGTGGACCCCTGCCAGTGGTTTCAAACTTTTTTCATACCTTCTCTATCACCCTTCAGTTCAGAAAAGACAAAAAGGAAACCCAAAGAAAATCAAAACAAAAAAACTTACAAGTCTGTTTCCCTTTGCCTCCATAGTCAGCACTAATGATTTCCAGCTGGGGTGGGGAGCAGGTTGTGGATGGGACCAAGTCCTGTTGCTAAGTTCAAATACTTGAGAATTTAACATCCCAGACCCTCTCCAAGCTCTGCCGCAGGCCCCTCAACTATATTTCCCTAGCTTACCATGGTAACAAGCCAGAGGACTAGCCCTAAGTGTATCCACTTACATTACTAAAGCTCTATCAAGTGAATAAATAATTCCCTCTGCTTTTCATGCCTGAAAGGCGATATTGTGTGATGTTTAAGAATATAGCACAGTTCTGTCATCCCAGCTGCTTAGAAGGCTGAGGTGGGATGATTGATTGAGCCCAGGAGTTTGAGTCCAGCCTGGGCAACATAGCAAGATCCCATCTCAAAATATTAAAAAGTAATGTAAGTTTTGGAGGCAGACCTTGATTTAAAAGTGTGTTACCTAGGGAAGGTTGCTGAAGCTCTATAAACATCTGGTTTTTATTGTCTAAAATGAGGATAAGAATGAAAAACTTCCTTATAGGTTGCTGAGAGGCTGAAAGGAAGTAATATATGGGAAATGCTCAGTGTATTAACTCAGGAAATGGCATACAGTAACAACAGCATCAACAGTTCCATAAGGGGAATCCCTTCATTTTGTCCAGGGGGACCCGTGGTCCTTGTGAAAGGTGTGAGAATATCTGAAGCTAACTTCTACACCAACGTGGTCAGATGATGCCATCCCGTATCCATGGCGACCAATGTCTCCATTGTCTAGTTTAGTGCCAGGCGGGTGGTGTGCAATGAAACAACGGAATCACAGGCTGCAACTCTGCTGTTCAGTTCATTCGTTAGTGGAACTCCTGTAACACTCAAAATTCTGACTTCATAGGACCTTTGAATTTCAGTTTTGATCATAAAAGAAGTTCTGAAACATTGACCAGTCATCTCATACACATTTTTTTAAGTTATTCCCAGATGGTTGCTGATGTAAAAATAAAACAACCAAAACCTTTGTATTAGATATATGTTGAAGTCCATCATAATATTTTAGTCCACTTCCTTTTTTTTTTTTTTTTTTTGAGACGGAGTTTTTGCTCTTGTCTCCCAGGCTGGAGTACAATGGTGCCATCTTGGCTCACTGCAACCTCTGCCTCCTGGGTTCAAGCGATTCTCCTGCCTCAGCCTTCTGAGTAGCTGGGATTACAGGTGCCCGCCACTATGCCCGGCTAATTTTTTTGTATTTTTAGCAGAGACGGGGTTTCACCATGTTGGTTAGGCTGGTCTTGAACTCCTGACTTCAGGTGGTCCACCCGCCTAGGCCTCCCAAAGTGCTGGGATTCCAGGCATGAGCCACCATGTCTGGCCTCTTAGTCCATTTTCTATTGCTAATGTAAGAGGAATTAGATTAGGAAGTAGGTTTTTGAAGGCAAAATTTCAGCTTACATGAATTGTTGGTAGCACCTCACTTCATAAGTAATATTAGATATAAAATCTTTCTCAGGAAAAAAAAAGTTAGCATTCTGGAGAAAGGAGTAAAGGAAACAATGGTTTAGTGTCTTTTGTTTTGTTTTGTTTGTTTTTGAGACAGTCTCACTGTTGCCCAGGCTGGAGTGCAGTGGCACAATCATGGCTCACTGCAGCCTTGACCTCCTGGGCTCAAGTGATCCTCCTGCCTCAGCCTGCTGAGTATCTGGGACCATGGGTGCATGCTACCATTCCTGGTTAATTTTTGTTTTTGTTTTTGTTTTTTTTTGAGACAGAGTCTCGCTTTGTTGCCCAGGCTAGTGCAGTGGCACCATCTCGGCTCACTGCAAGCTCCGCCTCCTGGGTTCACGCCATTCTCCTGCCTCAGCTTCCGAGTAGCTGGGACTACAGGCATGCACCACTACGCCCGGCTAATTTTTTGTATTTTTAGTAGAGACGGGGTTTCACTGTGTTAGCCAGGATGGTCTCGATCTCCTGACCGCGTGAGCCACCGCGCCCGGCCCTGGTCAATTTTTTAATTTTGAATTTTGTAGAG